GGGGGAGGGGTTATATCACATTCGCGAAGAGAGGAAAATATGGCTGAGTGGGAGCCAATGGCTGCACACTCTGCAGCTGAAAAGCGTGAAAGCCTTTGAAGATTATCTTCACCAGCCAATTGGGTTCATCCCTGCTGCTTGTCTAATGAATGTTAATACTTTTGGTAATGCCTGGACAGGTTCTCTTTTTCTCTTCTTTTTTCTTCCTTGTTTAACTACCTTCTCCCCTCCCCTCATCCCAGTCCAGCTTTGTCTTCCCTTTTCTGTTCCTTTCTTTCCCAGTGCAGTTGGCTCTTCTCTTTACCCCATATCTAGCCCCCCCCCCCAGCCATTTTGCTGTTCTGCTGACAGGAACGAGAATAAGAATGTGTGAGTATGGACTTGACATGTTTCTGTATGTGAGAGTGCTAAGAGAAAACAGTTGCTACATGCAGAGGGGGATCAAGTTATCTTATGAGTTCCTTTAATTCATAGGAAATTAATTTAAATCAGAAATTACTGATTTAATTAATATTTCTGGTTTTGTTTTGTTTTGGTCTTGCCCTTTTGGGGAATATAACTTCTGGCAACTATATATACACATTTAGATGCACACATAGGTTACACGGGGGAGAGAATCTCCAGAACTGGTTTCAGCTAAAGTTGATGGCCCTAGGGTGGCATACAGAAAAGGTAGGCATTGCCCAAAGCCAATCTTACTCATCCTTAGAGTATAAGTGTCCAAGACAATGGTTTCTAGGTAGCTATTAGGATTTCTTAGCAAAGATGGAGAGGGAAATACAGGAAAGGCAGTAAGAAAAACATCAAGATAGATCGCCAGAGGTAACATTTCCTGAAACAAGCAGCTCATGCTACAAGGCTGTGAGTTGGGGATGCTTTAGTCTAATATGCAAATAAGGATTGTTTGCAGGCAATCAATCCTGTGAAGAAACAGTGAAGAAATGGGACAAAAACCACATAGAAGGCTAATAAATTTAGCCAAGGATTAGACACGCATAACACCTACAGAGAGATACAGGGAAGAGAATGATGACAAACTAGACAAAGCAATAGGGTGAACCACTGAGATTGCCTGGGTCAGGCAGACAATGACCACCACCTCAAGAACATCATCATGTATGTTAGAGTATAAAGAAATGACTGCCGGTAAAAGCATTGGAGTAGCTTTGAAAAAGCAAAACTGGGGGTGGGGGGTGGGGGGTGGGGTGAATCAGCCAAAGTTCTGCTTGAATTTAAGATTCAAGATTCAGTTAATTGTATGATTCAAGGTTTGAATGAACATTAGATTGAAACTGATTTGAAATCTGAAATCCAATTTGTTAGAAAATTAAATCATAGACTAAAATGGAGAAATGTCAAAATGCCTACAGCTACTTCATTTTTTGGCAGAATAGGATGAATGAAATCCAATTTGTTAGAAAATTAAATCATAGACTAAAATGGAGAAATGTCAAAATGCCTACAGCTACTTCATTTTTTGGCAGAATAGGATGAATGAAATCCAATTTGTTAGAAAATTAAATCATAGACTAAAATGGAGAAATGTCAAAATGCCTACAGCTACTTCATTTTTTGGCAGAATAGGATGAATGAAATCCAATTTGTTAGAAAATTAAATCATAGACTAAAATGGAGAAATGTCAAAATGCCTACAGCTACTTCATTTTTTGGCAGAATAGGATGAATGAAATCCAATTTGTTAGAAAATTAAATCATAGACTAAAATGGAGAAATGTCAAAATGCCTACAGCTACTTCATTTTTTGGCAGAATAGGATGAAAGTAGTAGAAAGTTTATAGAGGATGTTCAGCTTGTCAAATTTCATCCAAATAGCTTTAAGGGTTTACTACAACAACTTTTGAAATATTTTCCTGCAATATTTGTCTTTTAAGGTAGAGATAGTGATGAAAAAACAGCACAGCAGCCTTCAAATTGTACAGCAAAGAGCTGCAGAAAAGTGGTGAACCAATGCAGAAAATGTTCTACTCTAATTTTACAATAATATATATTTTTAAATTGTTTAAAAAGTAAGCTCTTACTAAAGGTTGAAGAGTCTACTGCCTTCTAACAGCTTGCTTTTCCAAGCTGCTTTTTAAACATGGTTCATTGGTAAAGTTAGCCTCTTCTAGGAATGATGCACTATAAGCTGCTTGGGCAACAATTTTTAATAGAAAAAAATCTGTAAAGCATGTGTGTTACATATATAGTGCCTTACAATATAAATATATTGTCGTACAATAATCTCACAACAAGCAATGAAATGATGGACAGGGTTTGTGGTGGTGATAAAATTCATCAGCCCATCTTGCCTCCCCAAATCTTCTCCCTCGTCCCCGTGTTCCCTCTAATACCTTGGAACAGCATCTGAGTCTCTTGCAAGGGAGACTCACGCATCTCAAGTAATAATCGGTGATATTATTCCATTTTACCATTCCATACATCCTTTCAAGATATACTAAATTGGCATGGCACATGTTAACGGCTGCAAGGGTTTTATATGTCTTTTATTGGAAAAGACATTTGATTCGCTCTTTGGAAGAATGGTTAACTAAATTTTGGAAAACGCCTCAAAGTCTAAGATAACTTTGTTTTAAAAAGTAAATCTGAGACGGAATTCAGTTCAAATTGAAAACCATTCTTGAATTATAATCTCATACATGGAATTGTGGTGCATCCAAAATTTGGTTTCTGGAACTTATATTTTAACTTAATTTACAGTATTAGTGGAATGCATTATTTATTACTTATAATTCCTCTTGATGATTTGAACAATGTTAACTAAGTATTCTTTTGAGTTTAAAGCTTAATAGAGATATGTGGATTTTGACTAAAATATGGATATGAAATATGTCATAATATAAGTTTCTAAAGATGTACTGGAATATTTTAATACATTTGTTTTATGACATTTCAGTTTTGTCGTTTATCCACCTAATCACCACCATGTTCTTCATCATCATCTGAGATACCCGAGTCAACCTCATGGCCAAATAATATTCAGCAGAAATTTTTATTTGCAATGTTTAATACAGAAGTAACTTGCAGCAACACCATTGTATCAGAAGCAATAATTAAAGTATACAAGGAGGAACAAGGAGAGAATGAGGATTGTTAGGTTATTGTTAGGTTAGATTGTTTTACACAAAAAGGCTAGTAATGCACAGATGTTTCAGAGACCAAAATTTCCAAAGCAGTAGTTAAGATTCTTTCTAATTTACAAAAAGGAATTCTAACTGTACTACAGGGCAAAGGTCTTAGAAATCAAGAACTTACCTTCTTCTTCTTCTTCAGCACCACTTTCACACCATCTACAGATATCAACAGATTTACTTTCTTCTTCTTTATACTTTTGGCCTTGAATTCATACTGTCAGGAACAAAACACAGGTGTTAGTAAGCCCCTTTCAGTAATGTTCAACAAACGTGCACATGTCCACATTACTTACAACTATAGGACATACCAATACATCCTGGGCCCCCAAGGTCCACCTCATTTTTTCACAACTGCTGCTGTCCCCCTTGTAGCCACTTAATAATTAAGGCACACAGCCCCCTTCTGCAACAAATGATCTGTGAGTAATACTACATTTCTGGGTCTCTGTGATGCAATTGGGCTTATGGAGTCTTTGCAAGTTGTTCCAATTAAATTCAGCTCAGTTACTGCTCCAAAGAAAAGGCTGAACAAAAGAGTTTTGCAATGGGCAGTTTCCCATTAGCAGGAACTCCTGCCCTGAACCAGTTTCTGCAATTTTCATACTTCCTGCTAACATTGCAGTTTGCTACCGGTCTTTGGAGAGGTGGCTTTGCTCTTTTCCCTCTCCTAGCCACCATTTTCTTTTGCTACAAAGTACCAGCTGGAATGCAGATTTTTCAACTCTCCCTTCATCCTCCCCCTTCTTCATCCGCCCAGGAAGCAGCACTGGAAACACTCAAGTGACAGCTTAAAACTGCTGCACAACATAACAGCAACAAAGCCAAGGGCTCTGTTGAAATGCTCTATATGCAGAGTGTCAGAAGAAAGCACTGCAGGTCGACTACTACAATGCATCATGGAAATACCACTGCAAGCTTTACAGAGAAAAGGGACAAGTAAGGCAGAAGTTCAGAGTGATTATTCAGGAGGTTTGACAGACTTAACTCCCAGTTCACCTCATGAGTAATTTAGCTTCTATCTGATTAGTTTAAAAAAAGAGGTAGACCATGGTCCAGTTTCAGCTTAGTGCCTGACTAGTTATAACAACTCCAAGCCCTTGTAATACTTAAGAATCCCACAAATGTGCACACGTCCACATTACTTACACATACACACACACTGTTCTTTTAAGAAAATCGTCTTGGAACATGGGGCACCCATGTCTGCATAGGCCATTAAGAATCAATGGAAGTGTGGATTAAATCAGTTGTGTGCCCAACAGTCCATTTGATGCATATTGTTGATCAACACTACTTCCTGCCTGTCTGCCCCAGGCTAATGTTATAACTCCAGCTGAAGGAAGTTAGCAACAGGACCTATTGCTATACTAAGCACTGATGATAAAATATTACAATATATGTGGAATCAATGAAGAGACATATAAGAGGAGAGATGTTCACCTCCAGTGAAACATACTCACACAATAGATAACTCCCCTCCTCCTTCTCAATAATTGGAAGAATTATGTAATTGACTTGGGGAAGGAACACAAAGGTCATTTGCGAAACATGAATTAGCCCAGGAAGACAAGATAGCATGAGAAAGAATCGAAGTTGCTCCGCTTTGACTTCCTTTAGTATAAGAAGGAGAGAAAGGGAAATGCTATCAGGCTTTCAAGATTCTGTTATATAGGCTACAATGTCAATAAATGAGAGTTCCTGTATTTCTTGTGGAGTTTGTTTTCTGACCTGAACTACCTCAATGGGCTGACAACGACCCATTTAAGGAGATGTAATGGTATGTGGGGATGACCTTGGGACAGGAGGAACAACCGCAGACTAGATCACCATCATGCAAAAGACATCTCAGCCCACAGAAGTAGAGGGGGTGTGGGAAGCATTTCAGAAGGGACCCTCCCTAGTTTTACGGAGAGTAAAAGGGGAGGAGGGGAGAAATACTTTCAGACTTGCAAGGGATATTAGCCCTTTGAGATACTCCACACAACTAGGAGTACTAGCTCTGGTTTTACTGTAAGGTTACATTAACAGAAACTTGCAAGTGTCAAAGTATTTCTCCCCTCCTTTACTTTTACTCTCTGGAAAACTAGGGAGGGCCCCCTCTGCTTCTGTGGGCTGAGATGTCTTTTTCATGATAGTTGTCTAGTCTGTGGCTCTTCCTTCTGTCTCCCAAGGTCATCCCCACATACCATTACAGGAATTCATCAACAGATGGTTCAAATAATCAACAAAAGCAGTATTTCAAGTGCCTTTGGTCTGTAGAAAGGCAGAGATTAGACATATGCAACCTCTCAATAAAAAGCAGTGGCTAAGATTATCCAATGGGATAAGAGTTGAGAAAATGCAACATAAATGTCGACTGTCAAAATAAAAAGAAAATTTTCCACATTTCCAAAGTGTGAAGGCTAGATTAAGTATTTATCCAAAAATATGGGAAGCAGAGTTAAGAAGCACTATCTCTTGGAATTTGGATTTGACCTTGGGCATGAAGAAGGGACTTGACCTTAGAACTAGTTTGAGTGATAGAAAATGCATAGAATGCCCTTAATGCGTAGAACTCCCCAACCTGATGTTAGAGCTGCCAACAATAAAGGTTGCTTTCCAGGTAAGAATGTGAACAGGAAGACATCTAATAAATCAAAGAGGTCATCATTACAGCCGAAGAACCAATGCCAAGTCCCACACAGAGGAACTAGTGAATCACAGCAGATAAGAGATGGAGCTACTATTAAGGATGTTGGGCACATGAAGGTAGCCTGAAAGGAATCCCCCTATCATGTTCAGGAGAACAGAGGCTAAAGTGACTGCCTTTCTATTCAAAATACTTGCTGCTAACCCCTGCCTGTAGGAAGCCCAATAGTCCAGGGACTAGTGCCATGAGTTTCTATCTTTTGTACCACTATTCAACAGCACACCAAATCAACTGATAGAATATAGCGGTGGCCAGTTATCTTGGGACTGAGATGGTCTCTACTGCAGAACCTGGAAGATCTATGCATATGTTCAGTAATTAGTTTTGCTCAATTTCCAGACACATAGTTGTAGCTATTCTAGGTTGGTGTACAGAACCTGAGACAGGATACCCAGATGTTTTAGTAGATGTCACAGGTGTTCTTCTCTCATCTCCATTGGGGCAGAGAACCCCATTCACTTAGTTTGAGAGCAGTTTCAAGTCCAGCCATGCTTCTCTCTATTTCAATTGTTTGGTCAGCAGCATGGACTTGTACTGGGATGATGTTTCCTGCACTGATCTGTTTTGGGTTCCTACCCTATGAGATTGGTGCCTGTGGTCATCATACCCTGACTGGCTCTCTCAGTCACATTCCCCTTGCCAAATTGGCTGGAACAAGGGGATTACCTTGTTGTATATCCACTGAACCTAGAAAGTCATCTGGCAGAACTGCTTCCGTCATTCACTTTAATAACTCCATTCTGAAGGTCTGATGCCTACTGACTTGTTGCAAGACCTGAAGTTCAGGATGGCTCTCCATAATGTGTTTTTTTCAGTACGTAAAGAAGATTAAAACACATCAGATAAGCACTCTTCTGGGGTGTACCCTTTATCATGCCAACATATAGTTAATGCTTTATTGCCACTCCCATCCTGATATGTTTCTTTTATTTTAGAAGACAGAGGATGGTGAAACTTGCCTTTTGGCTTTCTGGTGACTTTTAGTGCTTTGGAGCTATTTTATCCTGCCTTTTCAGGCCAAATCATTATGAGAAATGCCTTAAGAGTTTGATTCAAGTGTATTATTGTTTCTACTATTGCTATTATTATTGTCATTCTTTTGAAATAAAATTGTTGTTTAGAATAGTCTCACACTCAACTGATATGACATGAAGTAGTCATATGCATAATTTTTAGTGCAGTATTATATAAATTTTAAATCCATATTCATTGAGCTCTTTTTTGAACTTTCACGCCAATAAAAATGTTATGGATACATGTAATTTTCTTGTCAACAATTCCAAAGTGGTTCATTATTTTGTTCTTCTTCAACAGTTTTTCAACTTCCTAGTTTAGTTTACAAACTAGGCCCTGGAATTTCCTGTTCTTTTCCCAACTAAGTATTAATCAGATCCAACCCTACTTGGCTTTTCAAGATCAGCCAAGGTTGGTTAGGTGCTGCCATCTAGCTGGTACTTCATGCAAATAAGGAACAGGAAGCTAATAACCAACCAGAATATCTTGGATATCTGGCTCTACCCTGAGGGAAGTGGAGGTGAAGACGTTATTTGTAGCAGAACAACAATAGAAGATGGAGCATTCTCTTGCACTTCAATTAATTCAGAATCCTTATAAATGTTCAAAATGTCTGCTTTGATGGGCTCAAAATACCCAGTGTAGCAAAATATTATCTTGCCAAAAACCTGTGTCAAAGAGCTTAGACTCTCTACAATACTTACACTGATTTTTCAAAACCCACTAAGGAAAGTAAAAGATGACAGAGGGATAAACAGGAAAAAAATGGAGCATTTCAGAGGTAAAACACACTTATGAGATACTGCAGTTTTTAAAAGTCTTTCACCGGGATCACATTTTTGTCTGTTTTATTTCTAGTTATGTTGACTGTGCAACAAATGTACATTTGTAGATTCTCTGGGGCCTAGAAGCTATGAGGATTTGGAGGGAAGGAAAGCTCAGATTAAATCCTATCAAGATAGAGTTGTGAGACATCAGCAGACATCATTGGTAGTCACTCCTGAACCCCTCAGCATTCTATGGCTGAGCATGATTAGGTTTTTGTTTTGTTAACACTGTTCGCTTTTGTACAAATCTTGAGGTTCATCCACACCCACTGAGTCTTGTGTACTGAACATTAAGTATTGGCAAAAAAAGGTATAGAATTTAGAATTTGACAGATATAAAATTTAGTTTGCTATCAATGTATATCATGTTAAAAATAAATAGGAAGTTGGTATTTCAACCCCTGCCTAATTGCTTCATTGCAGCAGCCTTTAAGCTGTGAGCAGACAATGAATCTAGGACAGATTTCAGAGCAAGATAACATGAAAGAGAAGAGCTTGAGAAGCATCATCAGGAGAAGTGAACTGCATTTCAAATTAGTGCTTTTTGTTTTGCTAGAATGGGTTAGCAAATGGAATTCAAGTTAATTCTCAAACACTGTGCGAAGCGTCTTGGCAGTGGATCACAAAATCCTTAATACAGGCAAAGGTGAAAGGTTACAGTATACAGCAATTCCAAGCATTCCAGACAAATGCCAAAGGCCCCCCTTTCCTACAAGCCGCTACTCTTCACGCAAAGCCACGGGAGGTGGGAGAAATATAAAGCAGAGCAGGAAACGGAGGAGTTGGGAAGTGTTCCAACTGGCAAAACCAGGCAGGTGAAAGAGCATGAGCAGAATACCAAATCAGCCTGTCCTTTTTGGTTTTCAATGGAGACGAAAAAGCAGCTGACTTGAAGGAAGGGGTTCTGGTGCTACAAGCCCTGTCACTTGGGAATCCCAAGAGCCCTCCTGGAAAACTGAACTGGGAATACTAGTACAGCTCTCGGTCTCTCACACCCAGGGTCCCCAACCCTTTTGAGACCACGGATACACTTAGAATGCTGAGAGCATATTACAGGCACTTTCACAAAACCTTTGCCACAGTACATGTGTTGTCAATCACAAACCACCAGCATACCAGAAAAGAAACAAAGCATTGACCTGCAGACAC